TAAATTAGCCTTGCAGTTACAGATTAAATTAGTAGTACAAAAAGTATGTGTTTAAAGTAACATTATTATTTGAAGTGTATTTGTTTAAAGTTGTATAGAAGATGATTAGTTTAACACGTAGGCTTTCGTGACCAATATCCATAGGTTTTTTTGTGTTAGACCGCGGAAATAGAAATGTCGTTTAACCGGCCACCACTCCAATACACACAAACCTGTCAACCCTTATCAGTGCCCTACCTTATTACAGACTAATTCAGACCTTATTGCTCACCCCGTGCCTTTATAAATCTCAACGTTCACCCTACCAAGTCCCATCACAAGTTTCATAGTTTATTTCATTTCACAAGGGAGAAACACAAACAAACTATACAAATGTGTGCCCGTTTTGAAGCGGCTGTACGCCACATGGACCTGAAAATTAAATTTCCCTGTACCAGAATACGGGCAAATCGCATGGGTTGACACAGGAATGCCACTCCCCCGCCAACCCCCTAAACAAAGGTCTACTGGACATCTGTGAAAAATAACTTCATAGCTCATCGGATTCCTCCAAGACAAACACATAATTTAGATTCTGAAATAAGGTCACGTCGCAGGACGGCCTCGTACGGCTACGCGTACGTTGCATGGTGAACGCATGCCGAATGTGCATGTTGTTACAGGGCCTCTGGTACCCTATGGTAGTCACGTGTTTGTTAACTCACGGTCACCCTTCCACGTTCAGGCCAAAACCAAATAAAGCCCCTCCACACGTTTGCTTTGATTGTTTTTCTGCGTAAATTGTAGAATTTAACTCGTGGGCATTCGCGACCAACGTTATGATTGAGTTGATTTTAAAACGTGTCGTATACCCTCCTCCACCCGACACAGCCAATTAACGAAGTCGTTACGTCAACAAAAAATACCAACAATGTACATACGTCTTCTTTGGTTCTTTCGGTAAAGTCACGTAGAATGAGAATAAAATAATAAATTGATAAAATAAAATAACACAATATTCTCACGACGCTTCGGCCACAACACAAGCGGCAATGTATTAGTGCGTCAGCACCACCGGTGTGTTTGAGAGCGATGTCACATTTAACAATTGGGAATGCCGTATCGACGATAGACCGTACGTTTACAACACACATTCTACTACTTACACGATCTCCCCAAAAAAACGATTACTTGTCACAGAATGTTACTCATTGATAATTATTAACTAGCTTGTTTTGCCCGTCCTAGGACGGAAGCTGTCATATTTACGATTTTTTTTTAGCAGAGTATAATTGTATCTTGTGTAAATTTAATGGCAGTGAATCTTGCACGAAAGTACGTCATCAAACACTTTACAGCATTTCACTGTAGCACTGTATATAACTGACCTTCAATTTGTTAAAATTCCCTGCTCTGATACTTTATTCTCTTCTGCTTTCGTTCGCTGGGGTTGAAATAAATTGGAATTCGATACAATGTGGAAAGTCACCGAGAAATGTCTATTTTACCATAATGTAGAAGCATAAATTAGACTCGCCTTTTGTCTCAAGTGCTGAATAAAGACACTTTGTTGCTGCGTATAATTTGTTTTATTAGATTCACTTTCAATAAAGAAACGTCAACTTAAAGCGAATTTGCAAAAAATATATATTTCCGCTAGACCTCGTGTATAAATCCACCCGCTCATGAATATTAATGACCGGGGGAGTGACGTCACGCACGTTACACACAGACATTCTTGGCTCATTGTAGCAGTAATACAATGTCTGCTGCCCAGGAAAGCCCGAGTCTCTGGGCACTTTTTTTTTCAGGAGGGTCCTGCCAAGTTTTGGCAGTCGGGGGTTGATTATTGCTTACCATGTGTGAAAAAGAGCTTAATAGCTCATCGGATTCCTGCAGTATAAATGAACATTCCGATTCTGTTTGCAGTGTGCATTCTAATTGAGTAATTTTCAGGTGGTCATAAAATTACCAAATTTAGCAAATTTGGGCCGCGTCTGCACGTGACAACTTTTTGTGAATTACGCCACATACATTTGAGAAAACGATGATGCAAACGTCTTTTTGTCATGCTCAATAACACCCAGTGTTAGCCAGGGCAGCCACTGGATTCGAACCACGATCCTCTTGCAACAAGCGACAAATATGCAACCGCGAGGCCACGTCACCGCCCGACGACTGCTTGGCGCACAGCACTTTGTTGCCATAGTGGAATACAATTCGTAATCGCCTGTGCAGAATTTAGTAGATGCTATTACACGTTCCGCCAGCTGATGGCAATGCAATTAGTGAAAAATGATCATGCTGCCTTCCAAACAGGCACTTATTTAAAATGGGAAAATCAGGCGTGCAGACCTGGTGCATGCATTACTCTCTAAACAGTTGGACAAAATTACGAAACGCTACTTTGGACAAGTGCTGTGCTATAATTCGTTAATATAACAAAATTATAGCTCTGTCAATCGACCGATGGATAAACCACCTACCTGAGCCGCCATGGTTGCCGTTGTTTTGATTTTTGACCATACTTCACCGTGCTTGTTTTTGTGGATTGATGAAAAGGCGTGACCCAAGACCAGTTATGATAACGCTGACCGTTAGCAGCAGCTGCTGCTAATTTAAAAAAGAATCGCGCAAAGTCACGCTCCTGTAATGTTCAGGAGCGTTGTTTTATTCAAGAAGCATCTCAAAAATAAACCACGCGGACTTCCTCTTTTACACTTGGCACTTTTATTTAACATCTAAAAAAACAAATGTCATGTCAAGGTAACACAGATTGAAATTCTATTCTAACACGCCGGGTTTTTTTTTTTTAGCCGTGGCACATGTTTATATGCCAGAGGTCCTACCGGTCTTATCCAACTTAACAAAACACTTTTTTTATTTCACGAAACTGTATCAGCATTGACATGTGAACAGATGTCAAACGTATACACATTTGGTTTGAAAATGAAAAGCAAATCTAGCTGCAATTTTTTCTCTTCAACATATCATGACGCATTGCTCTCACCAATGTTAAGCAATCCTTTAACTCTTAATGATACGTTTATGCATACTTATGTGAACAAACGACTGGTATCACTAATTCCCCCCCCCCCCCACCCCCCTAACAATATTTTTTAGAATAACAATGACAAAGGACACAACGAGATGACCTGTGCAAAATTTTCCACCGTTTCCCCAATTAACACGGTGTGGCTATTTGGACTATCATTAGAATGCCAGTTGTATGCAGCTTTCGTAAAGCATGCACACTCCCTCTTGAATGTGCAAACTGAAGAAAATAGTGTTTTCGAAACACATTTAGCATGTTGCATACTGCACAGATCTCAATAACGCGCGTAATGACGCTCTGCCCCCCCCCCCCCGGCCCCACTCAACGTATCATGGCAAAATACCCGCAGCTCAGTACGCTGCCTCCAGATGCAATAGTTGTTAGACCAGCTAAGAAATATCGTGTCAGCAGCCATGTGTGATTGGTCCAAACATGTCAAGGTGAGGGGGGGGGGGTAACCTGGCCAAAACCTAAACCTGTGAGATGGAATAGAAAGGTAGTTTTCACAGCTGGATTTGGATGTCCACTTGTGAAAACAGATGGGAGCTAATCGTTTTGTTAACCGTTCTGCAAGAGACCTGGGGAACTTTAACTTTGTAAGGGCAGTGCGTTTCTTGTTGTCATAAATGCAGGCCATTTTTTTAAAAGTTGGGCCTTCCAGCACGCAATTTTCCTACACTTGCATTGACAGTTATATAAATGTGATGACAATTCAACGAGTCGTGGGGCCATTGCGTATTTGGCGCCAGAGCTCACGTCCAAATTTTAAAAAAATGTTTTGAAAATTAAACTATTAAATTATTCAGTACCATACTCTTTGGTTCTATTGGGTAAAGTCACGTAGGTAAAAAAATAAAATAACAAAAATCACGACGTTTCGACCACAACACAAGTGGCCTTCATCAGGTGAAGGGACCAACCTGTCCGGAGGACAGCGTTGGAGTGAAAAAAGTCAAGCGCAGGTCGCCTCCTTTAACCTGTGAGTGGGTAAACAGAAAAGACGCCTTGACAAAGGAATTAGCATACAATGTAAAGCTGTGCAAGCTCGCAAATAGAATCAAAGATACATTAGCACCACCGTGAGAGTTTGGGATGCCACTAATGCTAATTCCTTTGTCAAGGCGTCTTTTCTGTTTACCCACTCACAGCTTAAAGGAGGCGACCTGCGCTTGACTTTTTTTCACTCCAACGCTGTCCTCCGGACAGGTTGGTCCCTTCACCTGATGAAGGCCACTTGTGTTGTGGTCGAAACGTCGTGATTTTTGTTATTTTATTTTTTACCTACGTGACTTTACCCAATAGAACCAAAGAGTATGGATCCTTGCAGTCACGAAAGCTTTAAATCTAGAATATTCAGTACCATGTTTACAAGCAGGTCTTCTGTACAGAAAAGAGATCATTTCAATGGCTTGTCACCTGGTTACACAACACATTATTTACTTAATTGCACATTAAGAGCACTGGTTTAGCATTTGCTGGGTAAATGGGGACACAAGAGAGCTGTTAAATCCCATCTCTTCATCCCAGTCCTCACTCAACGAAGGTCATCTCATGTGAGCCGAGGTGAATCCAAAAATACTGCAAATCTCCTTTGCCCAACCCAGCATAAAAAAATACGCTGCCCCCTAATCTAGTATACCTAGTATACAAACAAACCTAGCATCGCAATATGGATTTTCCTAATTAAGTGCGGCACACTTGAATTGGAAAAAAAACACGCGCGCTGCACCATAGCTGAAAAATATTCCACTTAACAATGGTATTTTGAAAACTATCGGCTGTAGGTTTTTCACCTCTGCCAGGCGTTTCCTCGTTTCAGTGCTTGTTGATCGTGTTCATCAGACGGCCAGCCCGAATTGGCCGTGCGGAACGAATAAATACGTTGTGCATCAATGCAATGTGGGCCTTTCAGTGACCTGCGTTCTTCATTTCCATAACGAGCAGGTTGAACACCAAAAGCATCGTCTTGTAGTGGGACATACGTACATCTCTGAAAGCACCACCATCGCAAGAGGCTGCCAGCAGAGGACTGTGCAATTTAAACAGAGACCTTTCAAACGAAAAACCCATAAAGTATAAAGAGGGGGGCAGGGGGAACCTTTAAAGTGCACCAACACACAAAAGGCTCTCAAATCTCCTGGGTTTTGCAGTAAAAATTATTATTTGTATATTTGCTTATTGCTTTGAATTTCAAAATGTTTAGCATGATGGGAGGACAGAAGGGAGCAACCACTGTCAGGAGCTTCTGTTTGTTTGCAAATGTGACCCTGCAGAATCTTTAAGACTTTGGCCACCACAACATCCCACAGCTTCATCTCTCAACTCGCAGACTTAAAGTGCTGCCTCTATTTTGTTTAAAGGCTAACAAAATTGCTGGCAGGGAAACAAGTGGCGCATTTCTTTTATAACCTGCCCCGATTTCACGCACGGCAAAACTAAACGCAGGGATAATGAAAGAACCAGACGACACGTCGTAGATGTGAAAATAAGCATTAAAAAAACATAAAGTGAAAACATCAAAAACACAAAAACAAGTCTAACATCTATATTTAGGCAAGGTAAACAATAGCAAACGGTGTAAAAATATTAGAAAACTGGCTACAAAAAGAAAACCTCTCATAAACCTTCTTCGGCCCCACTCTTTCAACTTGCTTCCTGTCGGAAGAAGAACACCAGAACTCTTTCTGCTGCGGTGGAAGAAGGCAGCTGTATAAAGCACAATGACGAAGGGGGGAGTGGGGTGTGCGTATGAACAGAGGCCGGTGCCCACCCCCCCCCCCCCGTCTACCCCGCCTCCTCTCGCATCAGGCCAATAGCAGGATGGGATCATCCATCTCGTGGAACTGCAACGAGCTCGCCTGGCTCTCCTCCGAGTCTGAGTCGTTGAAGCTCGCCGGAAAAGCGGCCAGATCCGGGAGCTCGGAGAAGCCGTCTGCCAAGAGCCTGTCCTCAAAGAGCGACCGCGCCGAGGGGTGTTCACCAAGGCCCATTTCGCCGCCCCCGTTCTCCACGCGCTCCGTGTCCTCCCACGTGAAGTCCTGCGGGATGTACAGCATCTCCGGGTAGTTGTGACTGAGCAGGTCGCTCGAATGCTGGTTGGTGACCTTCCTGAAGGCCATCAAGTGCATGTGCGAGGCCTTCACGTATCTGTCAGGACAATGGCAAAGAGGGGGGGGGGGGAAGTGGAAATCACATCTCAAGAAGGAGCTTTGGACTGGAGATGAACTGAAAAATCGCTACACATTGTTCATGTCATGTTCACAATGGCAGATCTCTGCACAGAAATAACAAATGCACCATAGCACAATCTACGTTCCGCATATACAACAGGGGTCAGGGCCGGGATCGAACCCAAAATCTCCTGCATACCATGGAAGGTAGTTAACATCTCGCCACTGTGGCAGCAGTGAGCAAACAGCATTGAGCAGGGAAGTGAGTGAACACTGCAAATGACCCAAACCTCACCTTGACAACGTCCCCACAAGACCACGCACAGCGTGATCACTCACAAAGTGTTAACAAGCTGTTTGCGTACTGCATGTGTTAAAATCCTCCAGCAAGAATATTTCTCATGCAATAGCTAAGGACGGTGAATATATATAAAAGGTGGTCATTTTTAAAAATGTTTGATGATTGAGATTGTTTCCCGTTCATAACAGAGGTGTTTGGGTTAGATCGCGTAAATATATGTAGATATATAAATTTATGTAGATATACTTACGCGATCTGACCCAAAACCTCTATTATGGGTGATATTGGTCGCGAAAGCCTACGTGTTAAACTTGCTTCCCGTTGTTAAATCATGCATAACCATGACATTATTAGCCTAATCGAAGGATGTTTAGAGATTAACAGTCTTGTCCTAAATGTATATACGTCTATACAATTATATATTTATTTCTAATTACCCAGAATGTGTTTGGTTTCGTCAGGTCTCATAAGCTAAGCTGGGTTGGGCCAGGATAGTGATGGGATTGACAACTAGCATGTATGAAAAAAAATATAAGGTGATGTAGGTTGCTGCAGGGCAACGTCGTCTACGGACGACGATGCAGTAAGATACTTTATTATACTGTACAATGCTACCACATCTACGTTAGCCACCTACAAAATAAATAACCATCATGGCCCAACTATGACGTGGGGAGGCCCTGACCCAGCAGTGGATTAACAAAACGCGAGGCCGCGAAAGGCTAACGGACGTGCGACGTTTTCGCCGGCGTTTTTCCGCGGCGGCGGCGGTGGCTACCTCCAGCGCTTGAATCCCAGCGCCTCGATCGCCAGGCGCCAGCTGCGCACCATGCCCGCGTGGCGACCTGCGTGGCTCGAGTCGGGCGTGACGATCAGCAGCAGGCCGCCCAGCGCCAGCAGGCCGTGGGCCGTCTGGCAGCAGAGCCAGCGCTGGCACGGCGACGGGAAGTAGGAGAGCAGCAGCGAGAAGACGACCGCGTGGAAGAGCTCGCGCGGCAGCGAACGCACCACGGGGCCCGGCAGCTGCCGCAGGAAGGCGTCCTGGCTCTCGGGCGCCAGCTGCAGCGGCGCGTCCAACTGCAGGTTGAGGAAGTCGCAGCGGAAGACGCTCTGCGGAGAAAGCGTGGCGCAGGTGAAAGGACCGTCGCGCTACTTGATAATTCTTCTTCACGATATCTGGCCATCGTCTGATGAAGCTGGTTGTTGTAATCACCAGTGAAACGTCATAGAACTCGAATTGTAAATGTTGTGGGTTTACTCTCCAGCACATCGGTGTGCTGAAGTATTAACAAATTGGCATGTTCTGTTTACGTGACAAACCTTACTAATTGGCTGTGTCGGGTGGTGCCGGTTTTAAAGATACATTTATATATTTACGCGTTCTAATCCAAAAAACCTTTATTACAGATATTGATTATTTGAAGGCTGCCTATGAGCATATACATGTATCTTAAACTTCTTTCGCATCGTACGTTGCAAACCATGCTAATTGGAGGTACAGGGGAAGAATAACAAACTAAATACAAAAGCAGTTCCAAAGAAATTAGTTTTTAATCTAGATTATTTAAAAGTGCATAGCTCCAGTGGCTTCCTAATATCGGAAGAGCGTTCCAGACGACTGCAGAAGCATATCTGAAAGCACACGATGCAGTCCGATCCTCTCAGACCTCAGAAGCCAAGTATGGGTGAGCCTGGTGAAGGCTTGGATGAGCAACCACCATGCACAAAACGGGTGTGACAGGCTGCAGGCTACGTTGTGGGCGGCGGGGGGCAGAGGAGATGAAGATATCGTCGTCCTGTACTTCTATTGCTCATGCCTCACAGCCAGCATGGTGTGGGAAGGCCCTCATTCAGCAGTGGATTTACAAAAGAGTCATACACATTTGGCCATAACTGCTAATAAATCAAGCATGAACAATCAGAGAAACAAAACAATTAAAATAAAAGTCTTCCCGTCCTGATCTGGAAAGCTCGCAACTTGGAGCTCAGCAACCACCACCTCACGTCGATCGTACACATCACAATTAGACACTGAGTGAACACGAGAGAGAGTGCACGGCCGGTGGGTGTTTGTGGCTAAAGCGCAGCGTGGGGGGATTGCCATACGTCACCCATGCAACGTGGTGAATGGATGGCAACTGTGGACACAGCTGTAGCAGTGACATCGTGGTGAAGTTGACACGAAGCTTTGGTTGTAAATTTAGTTTCATCATAAATTACCTTCCATTGACAGAAAAGCTCAAGAGCATATCACTGGCCAGTGTGGAGAATTTGTCCAAACTAGCCTAGATTCGAGGTGGCTTCTTTTTGCAATGGACTGAACTTAGCCATTTGTTAAGCAAAGGCAAGTTCGTACAATTATTTGCTGATGCATGTGTTTAAGCGAATGCATAAAAATAACAGAGGCATGCACACTGCATTGGGTGTTTTGTTCTCTATTCAATGGTGCATTCAGCAGAATATGTGACAGTCTTCCCTCTTGAACTTTTCAAAAATGTTTTGAAGCACACAGGATAATGGCATATTTCCACTGAGAAATGATAAATGACATTCAACTCTGAAAAGGGATTAGACAAAGAGATGGCGACCAATTCCGCTCCAGGGGTGGCGAGTGACACCGTCAAGAAGCTCTTAATGGCAAGGCAGCGTGACGGAACGTGTTGACAGAGCGGACACAACACCCCGTGCCACTTTATCACCACGTCCTAAAGAACAAACTTCCACCATGTGGCACACGTTACAACAAAGATGCACGTCTGCCGCTGGTCAACCAAAACCCGGTGAACCCACAAGTACTTTACATGCAACGATGTAGCACACAGTGCACTAAGTGACCAGGGACAACTTTGGCAATGCAAGACCGTTTGCATGTGCGTTTGTGCGTGTTTATGGAGTAAGAGGAGAGGTAGTGCAACGGTTAGTGCGCTGTGCTACAAACTCAGCGACCTGAAATTGATTCCCACTCCCAACATCGGTGATGGAATATTTTAAATCGTTCTGGGCCCCCCCTGGGTTGACTCAGACTCAAATGAGTACCTTATGCGGTGTGTAAGAAACATACCCACTAGGGAGACAAAGGCGGACGGGTGTGGTGCTGACCACCTACTCCCTCGTGTGCCATGCCAGCCTCCATAGGTGCTCACTAACAGCACTCGCCCCAACAGTCTGTTAAAAGTGCAGCGACATCGTCGCATGTCGCCGTGTGCGGAACTTACCTGCCCAAAGGAACGCCACGCGACGTACTGCCAGGATGCAGTACCAGCCCCAGGGTAAAGGGGGCAAGAAGGGGGACCCACCCGAAGACCCCCAGAGGGGGGGGGCTGAGGGGACCCCGGGCTGGGGGAGGAGCCTACGCGTGGGTCCGAAAAGGGGTGTGGCCAAGGGTGGAGGAAGCCCCGCACGGGGGGATGAAAAGCCGATCCTCGGTGGGGATCGGGAGTGAGGATTGCTGTGAAGACGCTGCGCCCAAGCCTGAAGAGGAACTACACATGGGAACTCGGACTCGAGTAGGAGAGTCGGGTGGTGGTTACCCCGTGGTGTGTGTGAGGTTAACTAGATCGGTGGGTTACCACCGTAGCTAACCGGGTAAAGGGGCCGTTACCCCTTTGTGTTAATGTTAATAAAGGTGTTGCCTCCAGAGCTCGACTGAGTCTCCGTTATACCCACCACAAAAGGCGATACAGGGATGCTTGTTATCTTTGTTTGTTTGTGGAGTGCATTTGTCTTTCTTTATGGAGTGTGGGGAGCGGTACCATAGTAATTATCACACTGCGCCTCGAACCGAGAAAGCCTAAATTCGATTCCCAGGTATGGTTAACATCAGCTGTAATTATTTGAACCGGTTCAGCCCAGGGTCTCAACGAGGTCGTCTCAGCTTTAAATGAGTACCTGAAGCAGTGTTATAAACATCAGTATTGGGCAGATAAAGGCGGTCGGGGCATTGCCCTGGCCACACCACCACCTCTTGTGTGTAGTGCCGGCCTTAATTAGGTGTTCGCTAACACCATTTGACCCAAGAGTCTATGGTAGGCTACACGGGGGATGGCTTTTATTTTTGTGCGCCACAGTGGCGAGATGAGATGTTAACTACCTTGCCTGGTATGCAGGAGGTTGTGGGTTCAATCCCAACCCTGGCCGCGTGTATATTTGGAGTTTGCATGTTCTCTCCGTGGTCGAGTGGATTTTTTTCTGTGTCCTCCGGTTTTTATCTCCATATTTAGAACAAACATGCGTTTAAGAGTATTTGGCTGGTATACATTTCCACACAATAAGCCACTTCGTTGAGCTATCGTTTGTGGTCAGGTCACTTCTAAAAAAAGAGCTACATAGCTCAGTGGGCCTTTCATGGTAGAATTAAAATAGTTTCATGGTTTCGTGTTTTTGTTTATGGAGTGGTGAGACTGCACAAGCTCACAGCTGTTGTCGTCTGGTGAAGCGCCAGGGTAGCTGGCCCATCACCTCGCGTGAGCATCAAAAGGGAATAATATACCTTGTCGTCACTGCACCTGGACACTCGCTGCGGCCGAGAACAAAAATAATTCCCACCCAAAAATAGCGCTGCAGAACAAATTATAATAGGTGACCAACAGCAAGTGGTGTGTGTGAAGGTCATGTGAGGATAGGGGATGTGGGTATGGTAAGTTTGAGAGTTGCCATTACGATAATGTCCGTACAGGGTTAAGGTACGGTTACGGTAGGGTTTTACTTAGGTGAAGAAACTCTTCCTTCCCGAGGGCCGAATAGAACCTTTGACGATAGGTCAGAAATTAACACAAAGACACACCTTACTGTTTAACGGTAACAATGCGGAAAAACATAGAGCTCACCTTTACCACACTAATGCCTGCACACGGACTGCGCGCTCAGAACTACCTGAAAGACAACCCGGTAACCAAACCCACTAAACTTTGAATTTAACCCGCGACACTTAATACTCGAGGCTACAGAATTTAAAGCTTCACCCGATGGTCCCCCTGCTCGGTAAGGCACGCAAGACACGGCCGTGGGGGACAGCGCACGTACATCCACGGCCGGAATGATGTCGATGCCCAGAGCCTGGAACTCGTCGAAGCACAGGAAGGGGTTGAAGCAGCTCCCAACGTCCAGGAGTCGGATCTTTCCCGTGTGCGCCGCGCCACAGCCTGACCTGCAAAACAGCGGCGCCCCAACCTCAGCTTTACCTCCCCCCTCGTTTGCCGCGAGCTTCTCACTACTGCAGTCAACTCTCGATTAGCCATGCCAATGGGGGTGGGCCCAGGTGAAACTAAAATACGGACAATGTACAATATTACAAGAATACATTTTGCTGCACTGTCTTCTGCTTTCTACCACATACCGTTGTTATTGTTAAGTAACAGCCGAGGACAACCTGTTGTGGATGGTGATCACACTTCTAAGCACCATCCAGAATCAACCCTGCTAAATGAATAACTCTCACGTGACCTGTATAGCATGGGGAGGGGCCCTCATCTAGCAGTGGATTGACAAAATTGCTGAATAAGAACAAAAGTTATTGCACAAACGTTGCACTGTTTAACTTCAACTCAAGAGCTGCTCCTATGGGCAATGCAAATAGTCAACTTTTGATTATATACAGGGCATAGGAAGGAGAGGTGTTCCAGATACAACAAACATTTATATTGCCATGTTTATTTTAAAAACACAGATTTTTAAAAACCCTATCTACAACACCAGACCCGTGAATAATACAGCGACACAAATAAAACACTCAAAAAGCAACATCGCAAAAAAAAAAATCGGTGAATGCCCCTGTTTTGAATAATTAAAATACTTGCTTTTAATCAGCGCGATTCATGACTCACAAACAGAAACGCGTTGGGAGCGATGACGGTCTTGACACGGTGGGTGAACGCAGGTTACGTCAATCACGTGGCGATGCGTGCGAGGCGAGCGCCACTACACAAAAGGTCGCCCGGATCTCGTGCACCGCGACGTTTCACCGTGGCCTCCGCTTGATTGCCGTTGTGTCTGACATCCGTGCAGGCGTCACGGAGCCCCCGGACCTCTTGACTTCAAAAGCTGCGCGGCGTGGAACGCGCACGCCGCTAATTCCCGACCAATTCCGAAATGCCCTTCCCACGGGGTAGCTAACGTGCACGCATGTGCGCATTCATTTCAATTATTTTAAAGACGCTGTCATTTTTTGCCCTTTTTTCATTTTCGCCCAACGCGCACACTCGTGACGTGGCCACGGTCTAAATATATACACGCGCATGTTACAAAATGATATTAGCAAGGGCGCAGATACAGCCCCGCTATCCTGGCCTTGCACTAAATGCCTCATTACCATTTTAATATGGTGTGCAAATACAAGGCAAGCCTCCAGGAATAAAGTGGGGCGAGAGGACACACAACACATTATTTATGGTCCATTTGATAAGCGGTCCAAATTAAAATAAGAGATTAATTTATTTGTCACATTATTTTCTGCTTGTAAGATTGTCTTCGTAACGGAGTCATTTTCTTTAATCTGCGAGCGTCCGGGTGCACGACGAGGCACGTCTAAAGTGCGGCTGCATTTTTCTCGGCAAATTTGTCCTGACCTCGCGCAATAGCTGTACTGTCATTAATGTCAGGTGTTTTATCATTGTCAAGAATTGCATTCAAAAACAACAAAAACCCAACTATCGGTTTTACCAACTTTCGCCAACACGTACTGATCAGAAAGGTGGAATATGCCAAAAAAAATCCCCAATACCGACAGAGCGCGGCGAGGCCTTCATCCAGCAGTGGACTAACAAAGGGGCTACACGTTTTATTAAATATATACATTGTATGCAATGGGTTGTCACATAACCAATCACGTTGGAGCGAGGCGCGAGGTTTAAACTTTCTCGCGCACCAAACGGTTCGACCGTTACTACATTTTTTTACGAAATCGATAACCGATTCCATAAACGACTTTTAATTAATGAAATTAGAAAAGTATTGCTGAATATTTGGGGAATACACATTTTTGGGAATATGCATTAAATACATTCACCTTGAGAAGCCAAGACGTGGGCAGTGAGCTTACTGCACTCTTTATCACGCATTCAGGCACTCCATCCACACCCATGGTACGTATGCAGAGTTTGTTCACTGACAAAAAGCATATTCCAGCTCAATTGCCAATCTCCGGCTGGATGAAGACCGGGTCGTGGAGGCTGTTTCACCGTACTGCACCACAGTGGGTCAGTGAGGACTGCGGCAAGGGAAGCCCAAGACCGGTTCAGATATCACTCGCCAATAATGTCAGTCGTCGCCGTTAATCTAACTTGGGTGACCAGTTTTGTAGTCTAGTGCACTAACCACTTTGTCAACGCTCCCCCTTATTAGAGATTTTTCCCCTTGAAAACTACAACACGAAAGGACACAATTGTACAACCTGTTCGTAGCAAATATGCAAAGTGTAAAAACAAAAATCACAAATGGCCTTTATTTTTAACCAGATTAAGACTAACAGTTAAGAATGTCAGATCATTACACAGGAGGCTTCTGTGCAATATCTCAAAGGTTTCGGACTGCCTCGCGCATGCGTGGAGTAATTTCTGACAGAATATGAATTTATACTGGAGGAATTCGATAAGCTATAACGCTCTTTTTCACAGATGCTCTTTTTCACAGATGCCCAGTTGAGGTAGGTAAGAACGTTACAACAACAAACAATACAACTCGACAGTAGTGCAAAGTACAAGAAAGGTTAACAAATCATCCAAACACAAACAAATACAACAATTAAACCATCCCCATCCTAGCAGGCAAAAGCCCACTGAGGTATTCACTTATTTTTCAAAAGCGACCTGGCCACAAATGATAGCTCAACAAAGTGGCTTTATATCGTTTGGACATTTACAGCAACAAAATCATCTCAATTAATCCGTCTAGACAACGTGTATATTGTAAATGTTAACTTTCTCAAACGTGTATACAGACACATTGCAACCAACCAAAGAGAAACAATGAATATTTAACGTTCTCTTCATGTTCTTCTTGAAAAAGTGAACCGTGAATGCTTGGCAAGACTAACAAATGCATTACCATTTTTTTATTTCAATAGCTAGATTCTGAAATAATGGTAGGTCATTATTTTAATGCTCGAAGCAGCCAACCTAAAAAAAAATGCTAAGCAGTGTTTGTCTCCCGTTTGTGTACGCAATGTTTTTCAGCATTAAGTTGATAAGGTTTGCATCTAATGGGGTGTACAAGCTTACAACACACCGAGCATATCAACTACATGCCAAACAAATGTATTGTTAAACAATAAGTGTCCCTAAATAACGTGGATGAATACAACACATTGATGACGCTCTCTCCCCATTACATAAATAAAGTATGTGATTTCAAGTCAAACCAATTTATTCTCCATGTAGCTAACATGTTCACCACTTTTCCCAGACCTCCCTCCTGCAGTTTTTGTTTTTTGTAATTGTGTTTGGTATCCCTCTGTGGACGTAAAATGTCACTCATGTCCTTGTTTAATGCCGATCTCCCTTGAACTATGAACTTGTAGTCTCAAGGGGCTCTCACCTGGTGATTAACGATTATGATGACTATGACAATGCAGATGCTCCTGATTGTTCGAAGGCATACGCTGATGAGGATACTCCTAAAGTTAATGCTGTTGCTGCTGCTGACGATAATGATGATAATGATGCTATGATGAAGTTACTGATGTTGATGATCGATAATGCTGTTGCTAAAGAAGACTAATGGTGATGCTGATGTAGCTGCTTATGAAGGTGGAAACGATATTTATTAGATGTTACTGGTGCTAATGACGTTGCTTCTGGTAACGATGTACATATACGTCATCAGTTTTCCCTCATTAAAATGCAAATCAATTTATAACATTTCTGACATGCATTTTTCTGGATTTTTTTGTTAATATTCTGTCTCTCACTGTTCAAATAAACCTACCATTACAATTATAGACTGATCATTTCTTTGTCAGTGGGCAAACGTACAAAATCAGCAGGGGATCAAATACTTTTTTCCCTCACTGTAGGTGTATGTCATTTTTATCGGTACGCCTTCAGGTCGGAAGACGTGCCAAGGCTCCCACAAGGCCATGCGGGAGAGCGTGTGGCACAGTTTGGCGTCAGCTATAACAGCGTGCGGTCGTGTCGCTACAAAACAACGGCACTCCGCCTCTCTAAATAAAATCAACACGAGCCGCTTGCGCGTTCCGAGATTCGGCGGTGAACGGGACACCCACGCTGCAACCTGAGAGACGTCTCGGAACGGGAAAGGGTGTCAAGCACAGGGGACAGGCAGGTGGCTGCAGACTCACTGGCGTCGAGGCGGCTGAAGAGAAGCCTCGAGCGGGCTGCCGTACGGGGAGAACGCGCCGCTCGCTCCTCTGTCCGACGGACGCCATCGCTCGGACACGCTGCCCCCCATCCCGCCACCATTGGACGTCCCGCACGAGCCGCCATCGCCCCCCCACCAAGGTGGCTTGGCCTCCGCGTCAACACTGCGGTGAGAATGTCACGGTCAACAAGGGCACAACAACATCCCTCTCAGCTGTCGCCTCATTTTCCACCTTCCGGCATTTATCCACTGCTGGATACAGGCCACTGCACGTCGTCATCAATGCCTCTGGTGCCGCTACAACCCGCGCTAAGCTGCAATCCATCTTATTCGTGGTTAAGCCCTGAGAGTGAAATCGATAAACTAATATCATGTTGCTTTACCGCAGCACAATTTAAAATATCTACCCCGTCAGCTCCCCAGGCCACCCTGCAATGTGAATGCTCTGTGTTGTAAGTGTATGCACACACACGAGGAGTGTCGTGTTTAGTTCCCACGACAGAGTGCTCCCTCGACATCTTTCACGTAACTTGATGTTATCTGCCAGCTCACATAGCTTCCAGCTCCTGGTGGCCGTCGCCAGCTGGAGATGGTGCGAGCTTTAATTATCAGTGGGGGCGAACTCAATAAGCACAACAGAGTTTGGATTGAAAAGTGTTTAAATGTGCCCCCCTCATTTCAAGAGAGAAAAAAGCCAGCGATTTTATTTTAAGAGGAGAAGCAGTGGGGGTCATTGGCCAAAAAAAGGGGAAGTTATTGGACCCGGACTAGAACAGGGGCACGTAGTAGACAGGACAGATGGCCGGGGAAAGAAATTTCAAGACTATGTAGATTGAGCAACCTCCCACTCAGCAAATGTTGACCGGGAGCTTCGGCAGAAAGTATTGGTTGCCAGAGCATAGCTTGTGTGGAAGGGAGAATCGTAAGATGAGAAGGTAGAGGTAAGCAGGGGGCTATAGTCTACGGAGAGTCTTGAAAACCATGGATGCGATTTTATAAATTGATCCGGGGACAGCGTTGGGAGCTAGCGGAGGGATCGGGATATCTGGGTGACGGTGACGTGGAGCTATCAAACGTACGTCCTCGCACTGGAGATGTGCCTGGGGCTGTAGGCGACGCGAGGAGCTGTGCCTTCTCCGCCGCCACAGCTCGTGACCTGCCTCCGCCGCTCGTCCTTCGCCAGGGCCCTCTCCATTCCGCCGCTCAGAAAGTATTCCAGACAAACGCTGCAGGACAAAACCGACAAGGCGCGCACAAACACACACACACAGACCGTTCACGTGTTTACAGACGTCTTCAGCGGGGGCAAAGCAACGACACGGCACCAACAGTTCCGGTAATATCCGAAGGCCCATCTCGTAACGTTCCTCGCCGATTGGTCATTAGAAATAAAATAAATCATCAACATTATTTGAAAATGTTATTATAATCGACATATAACATTTTCAAAGACAGATGGAAATGATCTTAAATGTAATTTGAGGGAGCTGTTACACAGTGGTTAGCAAACTACATTACGAACCCGGCACTTTGGGTTCGATTCCTGTGCACGGCTAACATTAGTGGTGAGCTGTATCTGAACCGGTCCTAGCGGGACCTCCTTAACCCCTAGTGACCAATGTGGTGAAGTACGTTCAAACAACCCACAGAGCCAACGTGGAACGAGGACTTCATGGTGAAATGAAATGACAAAGGTCTGTAAATTATTATTTTAAATTTTATTATAAAAAAAATTAATTCCATATATGCTGTATAGTCAAGCACCGGACATGATAATCAGGTCCCTACCCACACGAAACGTGCATTGAATCGTGCTTGTATTCATGCACGTGATATGCAAACGCAATGTTCATGTTAGACTTGGGATAATGCAGTGAACAAAACTGCACGAACCGAGACGGGGAAAACAACAATAAATTAAGAACGCCAAATATATCCGCATGACCGAATCACCCGGCATGCGCCACCATGTCGTCAGATCTTGGAAGCTCAACGGGGTTGAGCCTGAATAGTGCTGGGATGGACGACTGCAATGCAATAACAGGTTGCTACAGGCTCTTGCGATGCTACGTAGTGTGTTGCAGAGGGCAGTGCAGCAAATATCCATTGGTGACCATTATTTACATGCACCCGTGTATATGCTTCCCACATTTACAAGGGGGCTTATTGTGTACATGTACAGCTAAAATTAGGCCAAAATATAGTGGATAATTGAATTGAATCGCTGCTTCAAATCGTCATCCGTCCATGCAGCTGGTGGGCGAAAAAAGTTAATTGCCGAGAAAACATGGTGAGTATATTCATGCCAAAGTGCGTGTGTAACCCGTGCGTTATGGTAGTTGGGCTTACGCCAAAAAGCAGAAAGGACTGTAAAAAAGCCACGCGAATGAAATCACGATTCCGTTTGCTCATCAGACTCGGGGAGCCCATGACATATCAAGCCGCGACACTGCTGTGCGCCCTTTTGCTCAAAGGGGTGCAGGGGCTGTCAAAATGTCTCCTCGCTGGGGAAGCAAACCACGCAGCCAAACGAAGGCTTTTCAAGAAAAGATTGCAGCAAAACGAATATTGCTTTGATGAAAAGTAGTTTGAGTGAACTCTGGCAGCTCCTTGCATAACGAACTTAGCCTCCCTCTCTCTCCCTCTGTAAGCCGCAAAACAAGCAAACGGTGTAAACAAGATACAATTAGAATTTGTCTAAAGGACATATGAAGCCTCCAGGGCCAATTGTTATTTGCATGGAGTCGGATTCAAGTTTTTTTTTAATTAATCAAGTACGTCTACAGCTACATCCGGATTTTATTCATGGCTAATTATGACTGGCCGTGAAAAAAACAAGAGATGGGGGTTTTTACTGGAAGAAGTTCTCTCTCTTTGTCTTAAGGTAATAATGAGACTACAAGGGGGACCATCCATCCCCTCCAGCTCCAAGACAATGGAACCGAAGTGCATGCCATATCTCCGACGCAGCACTTTTAAAATTCCTGTACACAACTTGGCTATCATGTGCAAGATAATCAATGCATAGTAATCCGTAACTCTGTATGAGAGGTCACGTAACCAGGTGCACATTAAATCTGCCGCATTTTTTGTTATGCATAAAATAGGTTGTCACGTGAAACTACCTGCCTTTCGCAACTTCATTGTGGGATTGGCTGTGAACTTTAAGCCTTGTCCTGTAACATATGAATACGTCTTACACAGCAACAGTACAATTTCTGCTATCCGAGGTCCTAATACCCGCCACTCCTGTTACTCAAGCCACCAATTAATCTGCAGAAACTCCCATTCTCGACGCAAATATTCTTCTCACTATCCGCAATTGTCTGCAGGCAAGTGCAGCCACCCACCAAATTAATCCTATTGTCCATTGCCAACTGTGCCAATGTTAACATTACAGCCCGCTTCATGCTGGCCTTGTGCTGGGTTGGAGTAAGGAAAGGAGGCCTAGGACTTAGGTGCAGATGTAACAGAGTAAATTCTTCAGAAAATATTACGGATCAACATGATCCAGTCAATAGCAGCTCCTCACCCACACACGCACCCCCAGCATCACCGTGGACTGCATGTTCAGAAGTCCTTCACGATTGCTTTGTTGTAACGTTCTTACCCGCCCCTACAGGACATTTGTGATAAAGAGCTTTATAGCTATCGGATTCCTCCAGTATAAATAAATATTCAGATTCTGCTAGTTCACTAACGATGTCGTTTATAATCAAAGCTCCTTTAAACGCACCAATTAAGGATGTAATTTGAAGATGAAACCCCTCTCCGACATGTGAGTGTGCCTTTTAACAACTCCACAGCCGCTGCCGTGCATACAAAATCTCCCTGGGTGGACATTTTCACTTACTGATGGCTGCGCATGTTTGGGCAAGAGCATTTTACTCCTTGAGAAGTGAAGCACTAAATGCACGCTCTTGCTTCAACTTGGTATTCGCCTACCGCACGAGATTGTGTCAATCTACGTGCACATGTGAAAAAAATGCATAATATAATCTTCGTAATCTTTTAACAGCAAGCCATTTAATAATTTACTGAGGTTTTTTTAACACTTTAAAATGTACCCCGGCGATCCGTCTGGAAAAAAAAGTACAAGTGAGTCAATGCGATGAGCACTCCGTGTTCTGCACAACCGCTGAGATGCAATTTTCCCAGATTTTGCTCCATCAAATCGTTTGATCAACGCCAAAAAACACCCCTACCACTCATATTACTGCCAAAAAACCGACTTCGCTACAGCTATTGCCTTGCGTCAACGTTATTTTCCCCCATCGTTATCGCCCGCGCGATGGTGTTTGTTCTAAATAGCATGCGGTGTGTCCACGCCCGTGTATCAAAATTCAACACGCATTTTGGAACTTTCTTTTGCTCGCGACGCTCCTTAAGATATGGAACGACAATGTTTCTGTAGCTCACGAGGTAACAATGGTGACCAAACCGGCTTCCAGCAATCTTCTAAAGCAGCCCGGCAGTTGCTCGCTCACGCCACTGCTGGCGGAAGGGGCTCACCCCCCTCCCCCACCACCAGAGGGAGCTCGAGACAGCCCCTCGTATTTGACCGACTATTACGCTGGCTAGACGTCTTGGAATAGATGGGAATAGCCACACTTTACTCCACCACACGCGACCTGGCAATTGACTTAATGTGGTGTACCCGCTTGGACCCAAAGAGTGACCAACGGAGACGTAAGAAAAAAGTTGCACATAAAAGAGCTAAGAATATGAATTACTGCAGCCACGAAAGCTTTAAATCAAAAAATAAAAGAAGTCATCCAGGCAGCGATGAGAAGGAAATTGGCACTATTTGGACACATATGCAGGATGGACAACAAAAGGAAATATCCACGTAACCAAGGGGAGAACATGCAAACTCCAAATATACAACAGGTGTCAGGGACGGTTTCAAACCCACACGTCCTGTACACCAGGCGAGGTAGTCAACATCTAGCCACCCCCGTTCACCCAGGGTGCGTCCGCAACACAAGCAAGTGCGCTGTGCGGCCACGAGAAAATGCACCCGCCACTGTTTGCTTGACCGTCTGGAGGCCATGTTCGGGTCAGGGCAAGGTCTTGGCAGGGTCTGGGCATGGGCAGCACTGCTACTTTTACAAGTGGGGGGGGGGGTTGCTAAATTATGTCATGACAGAGGGGGTGGTGGGGGTGATTGCCCCGGGTTGAAGGGCTGAAGCTGTAAAGTATGGAAAATTAGGTGGCTCGGAGGTGAGAGCGCTTAGCTGGTACCGCTGAGACCTGGGTTCGAATCCAGGTTGCCGGCTGTGAATAATTGGCCAATTTTCCAGCTTTGAGAATTAAAAAAATATATTTTCCTGTCATGTGATGAACATTTCTCTGGATGGCAAAGTGGGTGGTAAAGCGCTGCCTTCTACTGTGTGAAGCAGGGGACACTTACGGGGATCTCAACGGTTGCTTTGTGAGATTTGCTTCCGTGGGCCATTCTCTAACATGAATGACTGCACTGCTCCGTGAGAGTTCCAAATGGATTCTCCTTTTCATGACATGGGTGCAGATTGCGCAAATTGGGATGCAATTTGAAAATTGGACGCAAAAAAGTGAGAAATTAACTGCATGCCTGTTGCATGGCAAGAGCTGAAAGTAGTCAAGGAGACAGAACACAAAGTGGCTTCGTTCAACACGTAAACGATACTGATTCAACCCTCCCCCACTGCCTCTCTCAGATTCAGTTGCTTACTCAGCCACAGTGTAAAACATGTGTTAATAACAATAGTAATAACAATGGACGCACTTTCTGCTCTTCACATTAAGTCAACTGGATCCCACCTTTGCTGTCCGTGGGGATTTTTGTGCGCGGTGCTCAGGTCTAAAGTTTGTTGGGGCCACCATGATCTGGGAACTGTCAGTGAGCGAATCAGACACGTGGGCAGGTATGGGTGGTACTGAGAAAACCGGCAGCCAATGACACTGTTTGAGAAAATCACCCCACGTGCAGAGGAAGAGGTAAGGGTTCAAGTCTGGTGCTGGTTGTTTTTTTATTGCTCCAACCAAATTCTGCCTAAACTTTCGAGGGTAATTTATTAGCAAAAGTCTACCGCTTTTTCTTTTGCAAGGGACGCGAAGCTGGTGTTAAGCCATCCATCTCGCAACCCCCTTTCCTCGCGCACACACACACGGAAACTAAATGAAAGCTCGCGTAAGAGCATAACGCCTTGAGATACCATTGTACTTGGATGACCTATGCATCCAA